ATCATACATGCATATCATACTAAAGCATATAATGGGTCTATTTCAACCCTGAGTCCCTTCCGAATCCATGAGTCCCTTCCGACTCCTTCGGTATCTTTCAACCGGTACAGGTCTATTTCACCCTACAGCTAAGCATACAATCATACTAACAAGAGTCACAAAGACAACAAGCACATACATGCATATTAGTAAGTGTCACAAAGGCCACTACTATCCTACAACATAATCTAGTTGATTGGAATTGGTGCCTTCCATCCACAAGTATAGTGAGGAGGCTCACCTCAATCTGATGATAAACAAACCACACTCTCGGGTTGCTGCTACCATGGCTCCTCACACTAAACATATTTGAAATCAAACCTTATTATTAATCAGGGTAACAATCTATAATAAATGGTCCAGATTACATTCCATCATGCTAAGGGTAAAACGCCATTTTGCTCTTTCCCACTACTTGACCCAAATAACCATAATGACCTAAGGCTCAAAAATGGCCCAAAAGGCCTTCTGGTGAGTACGTCATGCGTACAACCTCATTACGCCCAATGTATTGGGCTTAGATAGGAAGGGAATTTGGGCTTACCCCAATTACATTGTACGTACCTGGAGGGTACACTTAGCATACTGCACTGATGTCCAAATCTTGCTATTAAGCACTTAATGCTTAAATTCCAAATGTCCAATTCACAGATCTAACTCTTAAGAAGGTCTTAATTGATAAATTCAACAACTTGATGCCTTAGCATGGCTCAAAGAGGCCCAAAACCAAACTCTAAGTTTCTAACTTCATATTATGAACAACAAATCTTGCATGGCTGGACCAAAGAGATCAAGATACGAATTTTATGCACTAGATACCTTATAAACATCAAGAAATGCTAACCTAAGATTCTAGAGTAGCTTTTACTCACAAGAATCAACCCATGGGACCAAAATATACCAAAACCCTAAGCTAAACTAGATCTAAATAATGAATTATAGAGGTTGAGACATTATACCTCCACAAGGATGGTCAAGATGAAAAAATTATGTATTTACAAGCTCCAAGCCACCAAACACTTCTCCAATGAGCTCTTTCTTCTTCAAGATGCACCAAAACCCACCAAAACACTCAAAAGGATCAATACTCTCACAAAAAGGGATAGGGTTTTGAAGGGACTGCTTTAGGACAATGGAGGTTGGTGATAAGAGAGGCCTTGAGGGTCATAAGCTGTTTAAATAGGGTCAAAACCCTAAAAATTAGCGTTTAAGGCTTGCATGAATATGCCAAGCATACCCATATGTACACCCAACGTACGTGAAGGAATCTACGACCCTTTTTTAATGACCTGCACCCGACATACCTATCACGAATGCCCAACGTAGGGACCAATTTGCAAACTTTATATAAATCAAGCCCAGAATATAAAGTACCTGGAACACGGTTGTTACCAGCAAACCGATTGAACCTACTCAAGTGGCTAAATGGTATCAAAATTAAAAGTTTAAGAACTTAATTAGGACGATTAGAACTTTAAAAACCGAATGATGACTATATTGATACTTACATGGTCAAAAAAAACTTAATACTCCTTATCTAAAATCTAAAGAAGATTTGTCGGTGGGCGTGGGGTGTCATGATGAAGATGAAGGGTATAGTGAGGTTGGATTGTGTGGGAAATGTCATATTTAATTCTAAATATTCATTAAAAAAATAAAAAATATATATATTGAAATAACAAATTAGTCATCTTCCTTTCGGAGTAACTAAAATTATAATAAAACCATAACATTGTAACATTTCAATGATGATGTATTTTCAATTTTAGCCTAAGTATGAATATTTATTGCATTTTAAACCCTTGTGATAAAAATGTTGCAAAATGGCCCATAGTGGCATTTTTGTAATTTCTGGGGAGTGGGCACATATGTTGGGTGTACATATTGTACGTTAGGTGTACATGGTGAGATCCCAAACCCTAAGTTGTAGGGTTTTAGACGCTGTTTAATCATTCTTATGGCCTCCAAATCTCTTCTCTCATCAGCCCCAACCACATTTCAACCCTCTAGCAAACCCTAGTCCCTTTGAGGCCATTTTGAGCTTGGTATGTGTGTTTTGGTGATCTTAAAGGAAGAAGGAAGGAGAGGAGATCACCCTAGAAGTGTAGAGCACCTTGGATCCAGGATCACATCAACTTTGGACACTCTTTGAAGGTAAAAAGCTCTAAACTTGATGAAGTTAGGCTTAGATCTAGTTTACCCATGAAGTTTGTACACTTTTGGTCCCATTAGCTTGGTATTTTAAGTATGATCTACTCCAATCCATTGAGTTTGTCCTTTCAGGCGTTTTGAGTGGTCTAGAAGCATAAAAATATGATCTTGGCTCTTAGTTCTTCCCCATGCATGAGTTTGGTTGTCGTAATGGCTTAAGATGTTGCGGTTTTTAGTATTTAGCACTTATCGGCCATGTTAGACCATAAAAGTTGGAAAATTTATGGTCAAGGACAACATTTGGGGCTTAGATCTTTAATTAGACATAAGGACTTAAGCATTAATAACTTAATAAGTTAGGAAGGAATCCAGCTACATATGTCGAGCGTACCACTTGGTACACTGCATGTATGCGGTCAAGCCACCGTATCTGGTCAACGACCGAGTATGCCCCACGTTCAGCTGGGAACTCCCACCGTACGCAGTTGGGTTAACTCGGTTGGTTTGTCGACTTTGACCTTTGATCAAGTTTACGTAAGGGTATTTTGGATATTTTGAGTGGATTTTGAGAGTAGTCATTATTTTGGTGTATGGGTGACCAATTGAGCTGACATTCAGAGTTGCGTTCTATTCGACAATCACATTTCATTATGAGAGGTGAGTTTTTCTCTCACTATACTTGTGGGTCGAAGGTACCAATGTCGGCCCACTAGATTGTGTATCCTGGTATAGAGGATGCTGATATGTTATAGTAATCTGTTAGATCGGTATCTTGGTAAATAGGGTGTAGTATGTGGTAGTGGTCAGTAGATATTCTTGTTGTCTGATGACTGGTTATATGTATATCTGTCTATTGAATATATGTTATGTGTTATGTATATGTCGACATAGTGTGGTTGGGTTGAGATAGTACTGCTTTGTACGGTAGCAAACAAACCCAAGACCAAGTCAGACATAAGTTGTGGGCCTGTAGGGCAAGCCAGACTTATGTTGTGGGCTTGAGAGTAAGCAATATATAAAGTGTGGACATGAAGGGCAAGTCAAACTCATACTGTGGGCTCAGGGGTAATCTAGTATGTTATTTGTGGACCCAGTATATGTTGTTATATGTTTGTGTATTGGTACTTTGGGGGAACTCACTAAGCTTTGGCTTACAGTTTCAGTTTATTGTTTCAGGTACTTCAGATGATCATGGCAAGGCAAAGGCATGATCGTGCACATCTTTATATTTTTATGTTATTGGGTCTTCGGAAAACTCTAATTTCGGATAATACTTTTGAAACAACGGATTTTTAAACACTTTAGGGATGAAATGGGGTTTTTTTTTTTTATGATTTTGGGATGTTACAATAATGGAGCTAGCTCATGGTGTTTTTTTATATAAGGCTATAAGGAGTGGTCACCACTCCAAAAATGCAGCCACGTCATCGTCACATCAATGTCACTTCCAACCACTTCCCATGACAATTCCTTCGGGATGGTCACCACTCCACCTCACCAATATCATTTTTTTTATTTTAGTTAAACATTTAATAAAATAATATTTACTTGACAATATAATGTTAATTAAAAATGAAAACAACATAATTAATAATAAAAGTAACATAATTATAAAATAAAAATTACATAATTTCGAAATACATGTTACATAACTAAAAAACAATAAATAATTAAAAATACAATGTTAATTTGGCTAAATTTTCTATAGGAAATATTTACTGACGTGCGTAATTCCCTAAATTTTTTCTTCCGTCAAGCACCGTAGAGAGACACACCACCAACCATAAACATGACTCGTAACGCCACCTAGGCATGGTGTTTATGCCCACCAATCACATTAATTGCCTCCATCACTCCCCCACTCCGGACATCATAAAAAACAATCTTGTAAAAATCTCGACTATGCTCCGATTAGTCTCTAGGCGTTATCGGACCGACCAAGGTGGGTCCAATGATCCACCTAATTTTTTTAATTTGGCTAAATTTTCTATAGGAAATATTTACTGACCTGCCTTTAAAAAAATTTAGGACCTACCTTGCCTATAAATTTTTTGAATTTGTATAGAAAATATTCTATAATAAAATTAGTGAGTTATATGGTTTCCTATTTTAGATTCGTCAGTGGATCATTAATCCATATCTAGACAATGAGTAAAATTATAAAAGCTAGTGAATTTTGAAAACTTTAAAGAAATTCTATTTTAAGAGAAACTATTTGAGTAATGATTAGAATTATATTACCCATATTAAACTATTTTAGTTTAGGGTCTCTAACTAATGACCGACTAATCCCTAGTCGTTTGGTGATTAACTTAGTACCGTCTAACAATTTTACAACCTTGATTAAAAAAAAACCATTTTGAACAAGAATCAAAGAAAATAACATACACGACAAAGAAGAATTTCTACATTTACCGTAGATTTTAATTATAAGTTAGTATATAATATTAGTATTATAACAAATCTGGATATTTTAACATTTAACCAACTCGTAATCCAAATTTTACAATTTCAAACAATAAACCACACTCACTCTAATCTTCTGCATCCATTATTCCATTTTGTTATCTTATTTCGATTATAATTTTTAAAACGCATAACCAAACATAACATGCCATCAATTTATATTGTTATTTAACAAGTGAATATTCAAAATAAAATAAAAAAATTAACACGACATAGACTTCATATAAAGCACTTTGTTCATTTTTAATATTTGGTATTCGAATTCACCATTACATACCAGGAATGAAACATTAATCAACCACATAAACTTCACAATTGATGATCGATTCAATCACCATTATCAATCATCTTCCTCGTGGATGCACAATCTGAGAAAACACATTACCTATCGAACCATCTTCCCCATGATTACCTCTCCTAAACTCATCCCCATCAATCATACTCACACTATTATCAAACCCCTCAAGTGGATTCAACATGATCCCCTCAATATGATTCATACTGTTATCTTCCACCTCCACAAGAGCCGATGTCTCTTCAAGTTGCAATGCATACTCCAGATTCCACAAAACATCACCCATCGAAGGCCTATCAACACCGTATTCCTCCAAACATTTCTCCACAGTTTCACCATATTTCTTCAACGATGAAGAATTCACCTTCCCCACAAGTTTCTCATCCATAATTTGATCCAATTTCCCATCTTTTTGCCATTTTAGACCCCATTCGGCTATGTTCACTTGGTCTCTCGGAAGAACAGGGTTCAAAGCCGGCCTTGCGCACAAAACCTCAATCAAAACAACTCCAAACGAATAAACATCGGATTTTTCGGTTAACTGCTGTCGTCGGAAGTATTCCGGATCAAGATATCCGAAACTACCCTTCACAGCAGTGCTGACATGAGTCTGGTCGATGGCGGGACCCGCCTTCGACAACCCAAAGTCAGCAACTTTTGCGACGAAATTTTCGTCCAAAAGAATATTAGTTGTCTTCACATCACGGTGGATCACACTCTGTGATGCACCTGTGTGAAGATAATGTAGGCCCCTCGCGGCCCCGATACAGATCTCCAATCGTTGTTTCCATGACAACGACGGGAGATCTGTACCATACAAATGGCTCCTGAGAGGGCCATTTGCCATGAACTCGTATACGAGAATCATTTCGGATCGTTCGTCACAGTGACCGATGAGTGAAACGAGATGACGGTGTCGGAGCTTTGATAACATATCGATTTCGGTTCGAAACTCCACGAGACCTTGTTCGGATCGTGGGTTTCCCCGTTTAATCGCGACAAGTGTCCCATCTTCCATTGTTCCCTTATAAACCCGCCCAAAACCACCAACTCCAAGTAGCAACTTTTCATTGAATTTATTCGTCGCGTCCATGATTTCTTGAAAATTAAAGGTTTTTCCAAGATTACATGAAGGTATAGAAATCGTTGACATCTTTGTCATGGTGATTGAATGTGGAAGCCATGGTTTCGTATGAACCGGTTTGGACCCACGACCCGAAACCCAACAATAACACAACCCGGAAAAAATCACCGCCAAAGCTGCCCCAAGAACCGCCACTATCACCACCACCATTTTCCTCTTCTTGTTCGCCTGAGAAACAACCAGATTCGCCACCGGATCAACCCCGTCGAAGCTTTTTGCTCCATTGCTGATCTTTAAAACTTCAAGACCATTCAAGATCGCATTTGGGTCTTCTGAATCGGTTTCTGGCCCCACACTAACAGATAAAATATTCGAATCTGTTGAAACTGTGACAAAATCTTTGTAAACAGGCACATCCAGGTTTCCGGTGAAGCTTGATAAATCCAGATCGGAGAAGGCATTATCAGAATTTATATACAGATTGAAAACAAGAGTATCCAAAGAAGTGCTCACGATATCACAGAAATGGACACGAACAAAATACATGAAATCAGGATCAACGGGAAGAACCCAAGTGATGTTAAAGTTCAAATTCGCGACTTTTGCATCTCCCAATGTTTGACCCGTTGCATACACCCAATTCGGTGCAATTTCAGGCGTCAAATTTTCTGGGTACTTCACGAGTGAAGGAGTTATGGAGACATTTGCAGCCGAGCTATTAACATGAAGATACTGCTCATCGTTCTCCCAAATTCTTCCTAAAGTATCGTTTTGTGGTGTCAATTTTGGGCCACCCATGTTTAATCGATAAACGGTTTCAAACGCGAGTTCGGAAAGCCCGGTAATTGGGGAGGATTGGGACAATTTTGTCGCTTGATCAGGGATTAATTCATCAGGGATTGAAACGACTTCGATTGCATTAACGAATGCAATTGAATTGTTTGATGGGATAAAGTTAAGAAGCAATGTGTTAGAAGTGACATTGATGGAATACTCTTTTGAGATGAATTTAGAGCCGGTGTAGCTTTTGAAACTGTAACTGTTCAAGAGGACGAAGTTTTCTGTAACTACAGTGAATGAAGATGAAGTAAGGTTGTGGTCTGGAATCGGGTAAAAATGGAGTCGGATCCAATGTCGACCTTGTTTTCGGATATTGAATATGTAGGTTGAAATGGCAGTGAAAACTCGTGCAGATTGGTGAATTGGTAATGGAACTGCTGATTTCGATTGGATAAAGTATGAATCTTGTTCGGTTTTTAGGGAAAATGATGATTGAATTGAATCAGGGAGATAAATTTGGCCAAGAAATGTGATGTTTTTTGAAGAACCACAAGCAATTAAGTAGTTATCAGGAGGAATGAATGAAGCAGAAGATGAGTGATAAAGATATAAAGATACAAGAACAATAACAGAAGATACCCAATTCACAATACGCATTTTTTCTTGATAAATCTCCAAATTAATAGAAAATAGAAGAAGCTAATTGCACCTTAATGAATCAAATTCATGGTAATGAGCAGTTGGGAACCCCAAATTGTCGCAAAAAAGAAGGTAATTGGACCTTAAAGATTCAAGATTCATGAAACAAAGCAATTGGGTGATCCAATCTGGTACCCAAAAAGCAAAAAAATTGAAGAGAGAAATGTCGAATTCCTGCAAACCTAAAGAACCCCAGAAATATTTCTGTTGAATTGTAGAAGTAGGGTTTGAATTGGATGAAGGGGAGTTGAAGTGAAGAGAGAAAAACGAAAACCTCAGTAGGATGTGAAGATGCCATGAAAACTCCATTATAAAGGTGGAAGTGGACACAGCTCTTTCCAGGCTGCCAAAAGAACTGGCTTGAATGGACCCACAATCAAACTGGAAAGAATCAAGATGAAAATATAACTCAGTTCGATTCAATCTCAAACAGCTGGTGTCAAATGATTTACGAGTAATTTCATTTATTTCATGAGTAGCGTATCTTTGATTTGGGTCAGTGTTGCAGAAAGCACCATGAAAGTTCTGCAACTGAGCTGTGTTTTCTTTTTATTCTTTTTTATCTTTTCATTTTATTATTATTATATTGTTATAAGCTCACATTGCTTAGCTATATTTAAAGTTTATTTATTATGTTAAGTCAAAGCTATTTTCAAAAAAAGTCAAGAATTTGAGAGGATGGTTTACTACATATTTTGTTATTAAATGATTTTTTTCAATATTATTTATCATTATTTTTCTGATTATTCATAAATTATCTATTATCTGGTATCGTCCGCAATATCGATTATCTTATTTATTTAAAAAAATAGATGAAATGTTAATTAATATATATTGTGTCATTTAAGATGGTAATGTATTATACTATCGAGTAAAATGGTCTTGTTTCATGCACAGCCACCAGTAACTCATACTCAAATTCCGGTACATCTTAGTGGCCCCCGGGTGAATAGAGAAGTGAGACTTATGAGCCTCATACTCAAATTCCGGTACATCTTAGTGGCCCCCGGGTGAATAGAGAAGTGAGACTTATGAGCCTCCTCCAGAACCATATGTCCGACCTTACCAGACATCGGAATCCATACCCGACCGTAAAGGGTCAATAATCCCCGACTATCTTGCATGAATCTGGTGATCTCCCCTCTAATCCTCTCCAATTTACAATTCTCATGTCGCACACCCTCGGCCTGAGCATCTCTAATCAATCCTATCAGTGGAGAATCCACTAATATTCTCATACATGCCGCTGAAACAGATGATCCGTCCGTCTTGTGGCTCAGGGCGTCCGCAACCACATTCGCTTTACCTGGATGGTAAAGGATCTGACAGTCGTAGTCCTTGACTGCATCCAGTCACCTGCGCTGCCTCATGTTTAGGTTCGGCTGATCCATGATGTATCTCAAACTCTTGTGGTCCGTGTATATGGTACATCGAACCCCATAGAGAAAATGTCTCCAAATCTTAAGAGCAAATACCACCGCTCTCAACTCCAGATCGTGTGTGGGATATTTTATCTCATGCGGCTTTAGTTGTCGCGATGCATAGGCTATCATCCATCCTCTCTACATAAGGACTGCTCCCAATCCAGTGATCGATGCATCACATAATACTATGAAATCATCAACTCCCTCAGGGAGTGTCAACACTGGCGCCTCGCAGAATCGCTGTCTTAAAGTCTCAAACGCAGTCTGTTGCTCAGGGCCCCACCGGAAATCTACCTCTTTCCTCGTCAGACGAGTAAGGGGTACCACAATCTTGGAGAAATCATGTATAAATCCCCGGTAGTACCCTGCCAATCCCAAGAAGCTCCTAATATCTAGGGGAGATTTCGGAACCTCCCACTGCATAACCGCCTCGATATTGGCTGAGTCGACCAAAATCTCATCCTAGTTAACGAGGTGTCCAAGGAACTGAACCTCTCGTAACCAAAACTCACACTTCGGGAACTTGTCATATAACCGTTCTCGCCTCCAAACTCTCAATAGCTCATAGAGATGCTCCTCGTGTTGTTCTTTGGTCTTGGAATACACCAAGATAACATCTATGAACACAATGACTGAGCAATCGAACATCGTTTTGTACACCCGATTCATCAGGTCCATAAACACTATCGGCGCGTTAGTGAGCCCAAACGGCATCACCACGAACTCATAATGTCCATAACGAGTCCGGAACGCGGTCTTCTCCACGTCCTCCTCCCTAACCCTGACCCGTTGGTATCTGGACCTCAGGTATATCTTGGAGAACCAAGATGCTACCTGCAACTGATCGAAAAGATCATCTATCCTCAGGAGTGGATAATGGTTCTTCACCGTCAACTTGTTCAACTCTTGGTATTCAATGTACATTTAGTACGAACCATCCTTCTTCCTGACGAAGAAAATCGACACTCCCCAGGGAGAACTGCTCGGACGAATGAACTGCTTGCCCAGCAATTCCTGCAACTGAGATGACAACTCATGCATCTCTGGTGGTGCCAATCGGTACGACGCCTTGGGGATAGGGGGTGCACCTGGCTCTAGGTCGATCCTAAACTCTACCTGCCTCTCTGGAGGCACTCCGGGTAACTCCTCTGAAAACACATCAATGAACTCTCTGACAACAGGGACATCTAAAAACCGAAACCTGATCCCTGACCCGCGTATCCGCCACATAAGCCAAATCACTCGCATACATGTGTTGAATATACTATCGAGTGCTGGAAGTTGAGCAAAACCATGAACCCAATCTGGTGCACTCGCCATAAATAACCAGTTCTCCCCCCAATTGGGGTTCAAACTACCACTCGCTGACCCTCACAGTCGATCATGGCACCGAAATGATTCAGCCAATCCATACCCACAATCACACATACATCCCCCATGTGGAATCGGAATCAAGTCTATCGGGAAGGATACCCTGAAGATCTCCAGAAAGCAACCACGATAGACTGAAGAAGCAGAAGTCTCGTGTTCGTTGGTGATAGAGACTCGCAACAGACACTCTAGCTCTCCTACAGGCAAACCAAACTCCCTACTAAACGATCGAGAGACAAATGACTGACTCGCCCCAGAGTCAAATAATACCAACATGGGTAAGGAGTTCACTCAGAACGTGCCTAACATAGGTACAAACATATAAGCATAAAATAAATATAATCAATAAAATAAGGGGTAGAAACATACCAACAACCACATCTGGTGTTGTCCTGGCCTCATCGGCTGTGAGCTGGAAGGCGCATCCCCGAGCCCTCGGGCGCTCTGCTCTACCCTGACTCGTGCCAGTAATCCTCATTGTAACCGGTGCTAGAGTCTGTGCCAGCTTGGCAGTTATTAATGGGCAGTTGGTCTTCATGTGACCAACCTGATCGCAATTTAACAAATACTCATATCCTGAACCGGGGCTGACTGGTGGTAATCCCTCGCAAATTGCCCCTCCTTTCTGCATTTGCAACATGCAGTACTGGATCTGCAAACTCCAGAATGACCCTTCCCGCACTTCCCACAAGTGCGGCCGTGCTGGCCCCCAGACCTAGAATCAACGGTTTTGGACCGCTTTGGCGCAGGCTACGACAGTGTCAGGGTCTGCCTCTGCTCTCTCAACTGTAGTGTTGTAAAAATTACCGAGTTGACCGATTACTCCTCTGAGTACTCGCTACTCAGCCCATTACCGAGGCGAGTTACAGAATCCTGAGTACTCCCCGATTGTCCCCTTACTAAACTAAGCAGTGTTGTAAAACCCGATCAACTCGGTGATTAATATGTATAATATACTTAACAATTAATTATTTAACACAAACACATGTGATTATTACTACATATATATCTTAAATTTTCAGTAATTATTCATGAAGTGAGACCATTATGTGTTTTTCAGTTTTTGTGTATACACATGTATCTAATTTTGTTATATAGTTCAATCAAAATAAGATTTTAACTTGTGATTTTGACATATATAAGTTCCCTAAAACTATTTCTACATGAATTACTGAATCCGAGTACTCCCCGAGTACTCCTGAGTATTCGCTACTCGGTAGTCGACCGAATAAATACCGAGTAACGAGTTCTAAAACTTTGCTCAATCTCAAGCTCACACCACCTAGCAGCCTCATGTAACTCTAATAGTGTATCACAGTTTTGGGTAGAAACAAACTGTTGGATGTCGGTCTTGAGCATGCTCAGATAACGTGTCATCTGAGCCTGATCGGAAGCAAACTCTGAGCAAAACATTTCCCTCTCAGTGAACATACGGGTGATCTCCGTCACCGACTTCGTAACCTGTCTCAAATCCAAAAACTGTTGTGCCAGCCGCTCACGCTTAACCCGTGGAATATAGCGGGAGTAGAACATCTCCTTGAACCGATCCTAAATAATTGCAGCTCTCTGCTCATCAGAATACAACCCAGTTATCAATCTCCACTAGTCCTTAACTTCTAACCTCAGCAGGTTTAGAGCACACTTGGACTTCTGGTCAGTAGGACATGAGCATGTGAAGAAGCATCCCTCCATGTCAGATAGCCACCTCATGGCTATGATGATCAGGTCCTGAATCCCATCAAAAGTCGGTGGCTTCGTGTTATCGAAGTCCCGGTACTGAAAAGCCCGACTGGTCCCACCACTAGCGGCTGCTACAGTTACGTTACGGAGGCTGCAGCGGCATCCATCTCAGCAATGGCTGCATAGCGCTCATCAAAGTACTCGACCATAGCGGTCTTGATAGACCCAAACATCTCCGAAAGTTGTGCTTGAAAAAGTGTAGCAACCTTATCATGTAGGATCTCCCGAATCCTGGCATCCATCTCATCTGGTCTCATCTGACCAATAGTCTCTGACTGCCATCTCCTGATCCTGAACTGGATCCAGTCACAAATCGCCTCGTAACCACCATGCCGAAAATATACCAGGAAGTATCAGACATTCCATATAATAATCGGGGATCCAACTCCCAACAAAACCCTAGGGGTTGTGACATCCTTGCTA